GGGAACTCTGCAAAAAACGCATCTTCGCACGGGCAGCCCGTGCGTTGGCCATTTATTGTAATTGCCCAATTTGTGGCTTGTGCTTTGAGTGATTTAGACATTTCATTCCTCACTACGGGATAAACGTTTCAGCCTTTAAAAAAATTTTGCAGTATACTTTTAAAGCGGACGTTTGGGCCTACGGAGTTGTACTGTGGGAATTGGCAACGCGTGGTCTGACGCCATATGCAGACCTTGAATTCACTGAGATACTTCGTTTGTTAAAGAGTGGTCATCGTTTGAGCAAACCGAGAGGATGCCCAGATATTTTGTAAGTTCATCACAGCTTGCTTTTCTGAGGCATATTTAATGTGAACAGTTCAATGGCTGAGGAGCAGATTGATTAGTGTAGACCACAAGCGACTGACGAATTGGATGTATTATTTACCAGTGGAAAATCGCACTTCCGTATTTATGAAAGATGAAGGCACTTGCATTCAGCCAACGGCGGCAATTACTATTAGTCTGGTCTTTCGAGAAATAAGTTGAAATGTGCTGAGCTTTAGCCAATTCGGTCTTCAACCAATCTTTGGAACGGATTTACGGTTTAAAACGCGAAATCAGGTCAACACAGCCAACGATTGTATTTTTAGTCATAAGATTATGTCTTTCGTTCTGTCGGTTCTCTCACCACTTCCACATCCAATCTTTACATAAAATTTATCAAATCTTGGGGCACTCAAATTCATTCAGTTTTGTCGTTGTAGAGTTTTGAGCCTGCTCTGACCTGTGTTAATTTTCTTTAACTACGCGAGTACACACCACAGTTTAGGCTAGGACATTACAAACTGATCACACAGTCGTATTTCAAATGCTTTTTAATTATTTCCGACAATTTTGAACAATTTTATTTGCCTGCAATACCATGCCCTTTTTGGCCCAACGCCCTTATAAGTCAGGATAACGAAAAAAGCTTCTAAGTGCTGAACTGATTCAGTGTCGAGAACATAAGTACAACCCACTAAAGATGCGGAGGTATTCCCCTTGCTCAATAAATTGCTGAATTGGTTCGGATAAATTCTTGAACTCAGCAGATCAACACTGTCCGGGTAACTGCACACTCCCGAGTTTTGGTATGTTAAATTGCTTGCAATTTCCTCACTCTCTGTTATGAAACTTCGCACATTTCCTCCTTTACTACACCCCTACATATTGCACACGCACATGTTTTGCGAGGGAATTTTTAAAGGTTCTGCTGGAACTTGACCATGATTTGTTCTTTTGGAGAAAAAAATTTTTTTACTGGCATTGAATGCTGGATTGTACGAGTGCTCGCCCACACATGTGCCGCCCCTCCAATGACTTACTAGCGAAAAAAAGCTTGGGGGCACCCGCTGCCACCAGTTCTTTTTATAAATACTGGGTTTAGTCTGGTGTACGAGTTCTGTTTCCACTGATTTGTGCATTTGCGTGACGATGGCCGCAACTGATTGAAGTTTTTGACAGATACCACCAAGTGATGCTTGTCTGCTGGATGGAAGATCCACAGCGACGACCAACGTTCTTCGAGCTAACGGAGATGATGGAAGATGTTGTGGAACAGCTGCGGCGTGGAGTTCCCGGCAGTGCTTTGCTCAACAGCCACTACGAACGCGTCTCACCACGCTCATCCGCCACAACACCCATTTCATACTCGAAATTGAATGTTTCGGGCCCGGCTGTCACGGACTTATAAGTTATGCTAAGACCCGCAACGTGTGACGTATTTTGCGCCCTACAATAGTTTATGTGAAATCGTTTCGTCAGCAGCAACCGCCTGCCGGTAAAACTATCGCTAGATCCTTCCCCCGTGCGCTGCTTCCTAAGAAGCAAGCTGAAAGTGGTCTGACCTCGCATGCCAGTACCAACTTACTACCTGGGCAAACCGACCAAACATGACAGCAGGGTCCTCTTACCAATCGACAATTGCCCTTTCGTACGAACATCAGGCACACCATATACCACATTTGCTTTCTCAACTGATGACCAGTGAGACAGCAGTCTTTGGTCAGACCATTCTGGCTTGAAGAAAATAGAGTTGGCCGAAACAATGAGCTTATATTCTACAATCGTCTTCAGCTGCGCTGCTAACGTTGTTCCTGCTTTCAGACTTTCTTGTTCTTGTTCCTGGTGTTTATCCAAAAAAAAAAAAAACAAACTGATAAACAGCTCGGCTACACAGTATACGAACAAATTCAACTTATCACTTGTGCTTGGACATGTATGTGTAAAATGAATATGAGCACCCCGCCATTTCGAACATCTGACTGACGGTTTATCCGCATTCCTAAACAGTGTAAGAGTGCTTGAATTTTAACCCTATGGCGTTCATATTTCACCAGGAAAAAGGACAAAAAAATCCGAAAACAGTAAATCTGTAACGTAGTCGAGGCACGAGCCGGGTAAAACATCAGTACCCAAATTCAAGACCTTCGAAAAAATTCGAGAAAAAACCCACCCAAAAAACTCGGGCAAAAAACAAGCTCGAGAAGAAAAAAGCGAACCTTTTTTTTCGTTATGTCTCACCATTTTCTTTCGTGGTGTTCCGTAAGAAAATAGTGAAACACCTCGTCCAGCTGCTAGCCCTTGCTGCAGCAAGGACTAACAGTTGCGGTAGTTTAACAAAACAAACATCATCAAATCTGAGATTAACAGAAATTAACAATTACATGGGCAAGCGAACACACTTGAGGAGAAAATCGGGCATGGTTTCTGACAAAGCGGCACAAAATAGAGCGTTAGTTAAACCAAAAACATCGAAGGAAGGCTGTTTTGAAATACTGAACTGGTGTATTAATAAAAAGCCTAGTGTATGGTCAGTAATGTTGACTCCTTTGGAGTTCGCATTATGTTAGTCTGTATGGTTTAGTTTATCATAATCCAAATTTAACCCAGGCTTGCCGGTGCGATGATGCGTTTTTGCACCAAAATCGCAGATCGCTAACAGCAAGAATGACCCCTGCACTGTAGTCTAAAACTGGAGTTCATACTGTTTGTGCTTTGGCCTCTTCCGGCACGCAGGAAAAAGGGTGTCAGTTGGGATGGTGTTGCATTATATGGTCGCATGGACC